GAGGGGCTGTGTTTTTAATGTTAATTAATAATACCAAATTACCATTCCCAAAAGATACAGGCATTTACATTCCCACCAGCATATGACACTGTCCAATTCAGTACCTATTCATCTGAGAGCTCTAAATTTTTATTTCATTAATAAATTTGGTCTTTAAGATAAGTAATACATGCCAATTATGAAAAAAATACAAGAGTAAATAGTAAAAAGTCAGTCTCCCTTTCACCCATCTCCCACTGGTCCAATTCCTTTTCCCAAAGACAACTTTTTTGTGTTTCTCCAAAATATTTTATGTATATACAAGCATATATGTGTATATACTTTTATTTTACATAAATGATTGTTCTAGGCTTTCTTCACTTAACAACATATCTTGGAGATTATACCACGGCAGTATAATCTAGAACTGCCTCAATATTTTAACTACTGAATAGTACCACGTAGTATGGATACAACATAATTTAATGAGTTCTTTTAAAAAGATATCAAGGCTAAAAAAAAAAAAAAGATATCAAGGCTATTCAATCCCTTGTTGTTGTTATTATAAATAATGCCACAGAGAATATCCTGTAGGATAAATTTCTAAAAATGGCATTATTAAAAAATAACATGTGAATGTTTTAAATAAACAATTATTGAAATAGACATACAGAAAAGTATACCTAAGTACACAAGCCTGTAAATTTTCACAAAATAAAATGTACCCATGTAATTACACCCAGATCAAGAAACACATATAACCAGCAACCAGAAGCTTCCTCATGTTCCCCTGTTAGTTACTAACACTTTACCTAAAAGTAACCACTGTTTTAATTTCCAATACCACCGATTAATTCTGCCTGGTTTTGAACTTTATAGTATACATTTTTTTATTTTAACAGATGTCGCTTCATAGAAATTGTATCAATTTACCCTTTTATCTACAGTATATAAGAATGCGTATTTCCTGGGCGCCTGGGTGGCTCAGTCAGTTAAGCGACTGCCTTCGGCTCAGGTCATGATCCTGGAGTCCCGGGATCGAGTCCCGCATCGGGCTCCCTGCTCTGTGGGGAGTCTGCTTCTCCCTCTGACCCTCCTCCCTCTCGTGCTCTCTGTCTCTCATTCTCTCTCGCAAATAAATTTAAAAAAAAATCTAAAAAAAAAAAAAAAAGAATGCGTATTTCCTAACACCTTCACCAGCCAATGGTGAAGCCAATTGTTCTTGATTTTGCCAATCACGTAAGTGAAAGGTATTTTCGCTTTTATTTTGCATTTTTCTTATGCTGAGTAAAGTTCAGCATCTTTTCATATGTCTAAGAGTCATGTGTATTTTTATTTCTACAAACGTTTAGTCCTTGTCTTTTTTCATTGTCTCATTTATAAATGCACTGTAGTATATATTAGGGAAGTTAATCCTTGGTTTTATGTGCTACAAATATTTTTCCTAGTTTGTCATTTATCTTTGATTTTATTGTTTTTCCTACAGACATTTTTCTTGGTCTTCTCTTTTTTGCCTGTTAGGTATAAAATTGATTTTTTTTTCCCTGACTGGTGAGGCTGAATGTTTTTGTTTATGTCTTTAATTATTTGCATTTTCTCTTCTGGATATTGCTTCTTGATATCCTTTGTTTTCTATTGGATTATCATCTTTGAATGCATACCTAGAAGCTCTTTGTATATGAGCAATAGTATGGCTTTGTAATGTTTGTTTAAAAGGAAGTTTACCCCCTTGTCATTAGTTTTGTAAATTTTTATGTCTTTTTTGTATTGTAACAGCTTTGAGATATAATTCACATACCATACTATTCACCCACTTCAGTGGCTTTGAGCATATTCACAGAATTGTGCAACCATCACCACAATCCATTTTTTTTTTTAAAGACTTAATTTATTTATTTGAGACAGAGAGAATGAGAGAGAGAGAGCACATGAGAGGGGGGAGGGTCAGAGGGAGAAGCAGGCTCCCTGCCGAACAGGGAGCCCGATGCGGAACTCGATCCAGGGACTCCAGGATCATGACCTGAGCCGAAAGCAGTCGCCTAACCAACTGAACCACCCAGGCGCCCCCACAATCCATTTTAGAAATGCTTATTACCACAAAAGAAACCCCCATACCCTTTAGTAATCACCTTCAATCTCCTATTCTCACCCCAACCCACCCCAGCCCTAGGCCCACTACTCTCTGTGTCCATAGATTTGGCTGTCCCAGACATTTCCTATATATGGAATCATATAAAGTATGGTCTTTTGTGACTGACTTCTTTCACTTACCATGTTTTCAAGATCATCCATGTAGTATTGCCAAATAATATTCCATTATATGAATATACCACATCTTGTTTATCCATTCATCAGTTGATGAATTTTGGCTATTATGAATAATACTGCTGTGAACATTAATGTACAAGCTTTCATGTGGACATATATTTTAATTTCTCTATTTTAATATCTCTTGAGATATACCTAGGAATGGAATTGCTGGGTTAAATGGGAACTCTTATGTTTACCCTTTTAAGGAATTGCCAGATTGTTTTCCAAAGCAGCTAGACCATTTTACATCCCCACCAGAAACATGTGAGGGATCCCATTTCTCTACATCCTCACCAACATTGGTTATTATCTGACTTTTTGATTATACCCATCCTAATGGGTGTGAAATGGTGTCTTCGGAGTTTATTTCATTTTGTTTTGTTTTTTTACCATCTTAAGCAGTTTTTTGTTGTGGTTAAAAAAAAAACACATAACATAAAGCTTACCTCTTGGGGCGCCTGGGTGGCTCAGTCGTTAATCATCTGCCTTCGGCTCAGGTCATGATCCCAGGGTCCTGGGATCAAGCCCCACATCAGGTTCTCTGCTCAGCGGGAAGCCTGCTTCTCCCTCTCCCACTCTCCCTGCTTGTGTTCCCTCTCTTGCTGTCTCTCTCTCTGTGTCAAAATAAATAAATAAAATCTTTTTAAAAAATAAATAAATAAAACTTACCATCTTAACCATTTTTAAATGTGCAGTCAGTAATGTTACGTATATTCACACTGTTGTGAAACAGACCTCCAGAACTTTTTCATCTTGCAAATCTGAAACTCTATACCCATTTAACAACCACCTCTCTTCTCCTCACCCTTAACCCCTGGGAACCACCATTCTACTTTTTGTTTGTATGAATGTGACTACTTTAGATACCTTATATAAATGGAATCATACAGTATTTGTCTTTTTGTGACTGGCTTGTTTCACTTAGCATAATGTCCTCAAGTTTCATCCATGTTGTTACATGTGACAGGATTTCTTTTTAAAGCCAAATAATGTTCTATTGTATATATATACCACATTTTATTTATTTCCACTCATTCTTCAGACATTTATTTGGGTTACTTCCACCTCTTGGATGTTGCAAATGTGCATTGCGTTGTGATTTTGGTTTCCATTTCCCTGATTGCTAATGATGCTGAACATCTTTTCATGAGGTTTGTATATCTCTATATCTTCTTTGGAGAAATGCCTATTCAGATCCTTTGCCCATTGTTTAATTGGGTTGTCTTTCTATTATTAAAATATAATAGTTCCTTATATTATTTGTGTCCTTGCCAAATGTAATTTTTTGTGTTGAATTAAAGTCTAACTTTATTTTCCTCCAAGTAGCCAATTATCCAGTACCATTTATTGAATAATCCATCTTTTTCCTCCTTCAACAAGTACTTATTGAGCAAATACATTGGGTTAGAACCTGAGAAAATAATAAAATGATGCAGAGCTTACATACTAGTACAAAGATAGACTTGTGAGAAAATAATTATTCAGCAAGATATTGTTTAAATTAAGTTTATGAAAATATTTTGTGACAAGAAAAAATGAAGTACCAATATCTGCCTGGAGTTCAGGGAAGAGAAACAAAGGAGAGGGAGAAATTAGGTCATGGAAAGCTGGGAGAATAAAAGAGTGAGAACCAGGTACTGTGCTGGGTAAGAAACTTAAACACTGAAAACTGTTTTGCAAATGTAAAACATTTATTTCAATGTTTCCTCAGATTGTAGTTCGTGTAATTGTACTATAGCAAATGAGCAGGTATCTTCCTTTGTGATGAAGTATATCATGCTCATTTTTTTGGTGTCTTTGTATATACTTTATATATACTTTATAAACTTTGTCTATACTTTATATGCCCAGCCTAAGTATTTCTGTTATAATGATTGTCATTTCACATTCATAGAATATAAATAAATGTAAGATACCTTTTTCCTATGGATATGTTTGAATTAAAAAATATTTATAATTATTATTGAGATAATTCATGCTTACTGAGCACAAATGTCAGCCATCTCTCTTTAATGCATAACATATAGAATACTTAATGGCATATAATGTCCTCTTCCTTCAAAGATGGCACTTCACATGAAGGGATGGTAATAAAATTATATTTCAAAACTGTTACTTATACAAAGAATATTCAGACATTCTAACCTTTCCTTTTTTGGTGATTATAGGATAAACGTGTCATTAAATTATTTTTGTATACTTGTTATAAACCCATCAATTCTTTTATAGTTGTGTTCTCCATAATAGTTATCAAGGGTGCCCAAAATCTTTGACCCAGAAACTTTGACTAGATAAGTGGAAAAAGTCTAATTTGAGATACAGAATGCTAAATGTGTTTTTCTCAGTATACATTTTAATTGGTTTGCATTTGGCACTTCTCTGTCAGAATCTAAGTCATCCTTGGAATTTAGCTAACCACTTGGAAAATAGAACTAACGGTAGGTATGGTATGATGTGACTCTAATTAATTATCTCACCTATATATTTCACAAAACAGCATCTTAACTGCTTAATAAATGCTTTTAAAATATTGGTATAAAGTGAACAACAGAAACTTGATTTACTCATATCTAAAGGAATTGAATTGGTTTCTGCTTGTGATTATGACTCAGTAGAGCATATTAATAGATTATGGGGGGGAAATTAGAGTTCACTTTAAATATAAGCTTAGGCTATAACAGTAATAATGGCCTTTTCTTATTTTTCCACAGTTCTCAGTGGTCTCTGTTCTAATGACTGTCCTCGTAAGATAACAGTAAGTAAACTTAATTCTCAGTTGTAAAATTTTCTGTGAAAATTCCCTGCATAGTATATATACACAAAATAGTTATAGGTTACACTCAAATTGTTATTATTTAGAAGTGACTAAAGTATCCTTCAGTGCTCAAAAGAACTTTACTTTTTACAAGGAATAAGATACCTTGTCTAAAAAACTCTCACCTCAAGGTTCACCTCCTTTATGAAGCCTTTTCTGATACCTTGGAAAAATAAGCACCCCTCCCATTATTTCTGGGCATACTACTGCCATTTTGGCATATATAATACTTGAACTCACTTCTGTTTGTATTAAATGCCTCTCTACCCTAGACTGGAATCCCTTGAGGTCAAGAAAGCTCTCATCTTTGTATACATGGTACATAGCACAGGGTCAAGCATATAGTAGACAATGAATTTTTTTTTTGTATAGTCTTAATATTGACTTACTGTCTAATGGAATGTTTCAGTGAAATAACGAAGTGTAAAAATAATTAGGCTTTGTTTTTGAAATTGCCAGTACATGTAAATCGTAATAAGAATATTACATTATATTTTGAGTGTGTGTGTGTGTGTGTGTGCACGCTCCCGCATGTGTTGGTATATCCCTGCTTGGGTCCTCATAGTAACCATTGTTTCATAAGGAATTACTTCCATGTAAAGATGAGGAAACTGAGGCTCAGAAAAATTAAATTGCCCAAAGTCATAGAGCTATTAAGGAGTGGAACTAGAACACAAAGCTAGATGTTCTGATAATAGCATCATACTTTTACTACCCCAGTTAAGCACTACATGACCAACATTGTGTGTATGGTTGGGAAATTACATATTTAAGACACATGGAAACAGACCCTGACCCAGATTTGCATGCAGAGACTTAATTTAGACTCAACTCAGGAGCAACAGCTATGAAGTAGTAAGGAAAGGAAGATTAGCAGAAGAAGTTGGTCTGTGACGCGTGGGGAGCTGTGAAGCTAGGATGGCCCTTCAGAGATGGCCCAAATAGAGGCAGAGGAGCCAGGCCTTTGTATTCCTCTATCAGTCAGACACTGCGTGCATGCAGTCCCCAGGAAAGGATTATAATTGGTAGGAGCCAGCTCCCTTTGGCCGAAAACAGTTTCCAGGTGGGAACCCAGCTGTGAACTCTCATCAGCCAACACTTGGAGCAGCTCAGGAAATAACTGCCTCAGTCCTGAAGAGAAAATCTAGACAATGCATCACCATATCCATTATGAATGTATGTAAGTGCCTGGTCAAATCCATCTGCTTTCATATCATTATAAAAAGGTAGATATATAGTGGGGGAGACTATGGGGAGGGGAATGCAGAAGATATAGGGGAAATCTCTGTACTTGCCCCTTAATTTTGCTGTGAATCTAAAACTGCTCTAAAAAATAAAGTCTGTTTTTTAAAATTTTTTAAAGTGTAGATGTAATTAATCAGAGGCTAAAATTAATTTGGTTATTTAGGTATTGTCTACCCAGTCTGTGAAATGTTCAGACCTTTTGTTCCTCTTCCTTTCTGTCATTGACCATATTCATTACATGATCAAACAAAGAACTTTAAAACATTGAAATGGAACCAACTCATTTTACCCACAAGTTCTGGCAGAAAAGGTGATAGGAAAGGTTGCATGATAAGGCAGGTTATACTTCTAAGATCAATAATGCTTCCATTCTCTTTATCTTAAAATAAAAGGAATTTTAATTGTAGGGAGAACAGAATCATTTAGAAAGCCATGTAAGTAAAATTCAGCATGCAGAGCTGTTCTTACAGTGATTACACTAACAGTCCAGCGCCTTTGGGCTTTTTTGCAGGTGACACATCTGCCTCCCATTCGTCCGTTTATTACTTTCTTTGAAGTTCAGATCCTGTTGAACTGCCTTCACATAGATCATTTTCCTTCCCCACTGATATCATAGATCACAGTTTCATGACAACCGAAAAGAAACAAATACACACTATACTTCCCCAGTTTTCCATATATCAAATGTGTGCCCACTTGTAAAATTATTATTATTTTATGAAAAAGTGGGCCTTCTTCATATTGACATTAGATCCACTTGATCATGGCAGAAAGTATTATTTTAGGTATGACCCTGTGTGAGACTAAGAGGGTAAATGCATCTAATGTGATATTCTTTACCACTTGAGTTGATTTATGAGTTGAATAGCTCTTCTGCTGCCAGTATGCTCCCACCTGATACATGTATCCTATCTGATACATGGAGAGAGGAAAGAATTATTCAAGTCAGAAACCAGTCCCACCCAAATTCCTTCATCTCCATTTTGAAAATCTCAGGCCACACTGTGGACCTTATCTACCAGAACTATTTTACTTTTGAAATTATAATGCCGTCCATTCAGCTATCTGACCACAACCTATATTCCCAGCCCTCTCCCGTTACTATACCTGTACATCTTTAAAGACCATTAGTCTCTTGACCTCTTGCCTTTACCTTCCTCCTTTAGCTGCCATACAGAGCCTCACTCCTGCCATTGCTTTTAACTCCCATAAAGCACTCTCCTTCCACTATGCCTGCCTAGCAGAATTACAGCCCTGGGTTAGTCCAGCTATCTACCTTGTTCAGTACTAGATCTAGGCTCCTGGGCACTTCTGAAGGAAAAAAATAAACAGCTTCGCATATTGGTACCACAACTGGTTCATGGTCTTCAACCTGAAATAAGCATTCTTTTTTTTTTTAAATATGAATACTGCGGTGGGGGGGGGGTTCTTTAAGATTTTTATTTATTTGTTTGACAGAGACATAGCAAGAGAGGGAACACAAGCAGGGGGAGTGGGAGAGGGAGAAGCAGGCCTCCCGCAGAGCAGGGAGCCAGATGTGGGGCGCTATCCCACGACCCCAGGACCATGACCTAAGCCAAAGGTAGATGCTTAACGACTGAGCCACCCAGGCGCCCCTGAAATAAGCATTCTTAATTGTATCAGTCTTATATAGATTCCTAGTCCTCTTTCCTCCCATTCTTTTTCTCTGATTACTTTCAGGATTTTCTCTTTGTCTTTGGTTTTCTGCTGATTGAATATGATATGCATAGGTATAGATTTTTAGGTATTTTTCTTGTTTTCATTAGTTTTTCTCTGTGTGTTTCAGTTTTGGAAGTTTCTGTTGATCTTCAAGCTCACTGATTCTTTGTTCATCTGTGTCTGGGCATTCCTCATTCCTATTATAGTATTTTATTTGTATCATTTCTATTTGATTCTTAAGAGTTTCCATCTCGGGACGCCTGGGTGGCTCAGTTGGTTAAGCCTCTGCCTTCGGCTCAGGTCATGATCTCAGGGTCCTGGGATCAAGTCCCGCAGCGGGCTCCCTGCTCAGGAGGGAGCCTGCTTCTCCCTCTGCCTGCTGCTCCCCCCTGCTTGTGATCTCTCTCTCTCTCTCTGATAAATAAATAAATAAAATCTTAAAAAAAAAAAAAAAGAGTTTCCATCTCTCTGCTTATATTAATCTATTTTTGCATGTTGTCTACTTCTTCCAGGAGAGCTCTTAACATATTAATCATAGTTATTTTAAATTTCTGGTCTGATAATTCCAACATTCCTGCCATAACTGAATCTGGTACCTATGCTTGCTTTCTCTATTCAAACTTTGTTTTCTGCCTTTTAGCATGCCTTGAAATCTTCTGTTGAAAACCAGAACTGACGCAGATGGGCCTTTATTAATGAGGTTTTATGTCTATCTGGCGAGGATAACTCTAACAACTGTATTTTCTGTTTGTGGTAGCTGTGCTCTCAGAGGCAGCATTTTTCTAAATTGGCTTTTTGTCTCCCCTGTTGTCTTTGTGTTTCCCTACAAACTTATACTTAAACAGAGTCTGAGGCTTGCAATGCTTTTAGCTGTAATCCCATTATTAGACAGGAGCCCATTGATGTGGTGATAAGGAACAGGGGTAGAATATGCAACTTATAGGGCGCCTTGGTGGCTCAGTTGGTTAAGCGACTGCCTTCGGCTCAGGTCATGATCCTGGAGTCCCGGGATCGAGTCCCGCATCGGCTCCCTGCTCAGCAGGGGGTCTCCTCCCTCTGCCCTCTTCCCTCTCGTGCTCTCTGTCTCTCATTCTCTCTCTCTCAAATAAATAAATAAAATCTTTAAAAAAAAAAAAAAAAAGAATATGCAACTTATAGTCCTGTGATTGGGTCTTGGACTTTTAGTGAGCCTGTGTCCCTGGGATGTGACGTTCTCAAGTGCTTCTTAGCTTCCCCTCCCCCTAAGACAGGACAGGAAGGTGAGAGGGGGCTAAAGTTAGGCATTTCCTTTCCCCCCATGTTGGAAAGGTTTTGGTAGAACCCAAGTCACTTAAGCTTTGGTAAAGTTTTGGTAATAGTTTTCTCCTGAGGGCAAGGTGTTAAGAATAAAGAGATCTGGGCATATTTCAGAATGCTTACTTCCCCTTCGTATGCTAGAAGCATGAGAGTTGTTTTGTTTTCCAGTCTTCCCCCAAGAATCTGGTGGAATTCTGGAGGTAAAACTTTTATGTGGACCTCCTCTAAGACTGCTTCCTTCCCTCCCCCAGAGTTTTGAATTCTCAAGCTAGTTCATATTGAGCTTCCAGCAATTTCTCAATTACAGTTTAAGTATCCTAGCATACTGGCTCCAGTTTCAGTCTCCTGCTTCTAGGCCTCCGCTCCCAGTAAGCTGTGATTGATTCTCTGTATCCACCCCTCTCCCGTTTTCAGGGTAGCAGTTTGCCCTGTGACCTCAGTTCTCTGAATCTAAGGAGAGTTGCTTTTTACTTTCTTCAGCTTTTTTTGTTGCTTTTGTGAGGACAGGAGTCATGACTTCAAGCTCCTTACATGTCAGACCAGAAACTCCTTGCATTTTTACCAGTATTGCTTTATTTTTTTTTTTTTTTTTTTTAGATTTTATTTATTTGACAGAGAGAGAGCATGAGGGGGAGTGGCAGGCAGAGGAAGAGGGAGAAGCAGGCTCCCTGCCAAGCAGGGAGCCCAATGCAGGGCTCGATCCCAAGACCCTAGGATCATGACCTAAGCCAAAGGCAGACACTTAACGACTGAGCCACCCAGGCGCGCCCAGTATTGCTTTATTTTTATTTCTTACAGCTTTATTGCAGTATAATTTGACATGCAATAAACTGTACATAATGATCATATTCAGTTTGATGTTATGTATATATTGTACATATATATACACTACATATATTTAAATGGATATATATAAAAAATACCAATATAATGAAATATATATCATAACAAAAATTTTTGTGCCCCTTATCCCTCTTTCTCACCTTCCCTGACCCTCATTCCCTATCCCACTTTTTCTCAGTCACCACTGATAGGTTCTCTGTTGCTTAATTTTAAAAGTTGTTCTTGTCCATGTTACTTCACAGCTTTTATCAATATATCTTCCTTTGTGTCATTTATTGCTCTTTACCTTGACTTTTTTTACTTTTGTTTGAAAAATTTTAAACATCTACAAAAGTATAGATTAATAAAATTCCTTGTGCCCATACTACCACCCAGTTTCAGCACTGTCATCATACATACTCACCTACTAATTCCATTCACAGCCTCCCTTAGGTTATTTTAAGGCAAATCCATCATATCCTGTATTCTGTAAATTCTGCCATGTGTATCTCTAAGATAAGGACTTTACATATTAGACCAGAAACTCCCATTTTTCATAAGAACTATTTTGTATCCTTTCCAGTCTCCTCTTACATCCATCCCCAACTTCCAGTTCTCAGTAATTGACCTTGCTTCCTACTTCAAAGGAAAAATAAGAATATAAAATCAGAATCTCTTCAACTATCTTAAGTAACTTTGGGAAAGTTATTTAACTCTTGTTAAGCCTCATTCTCCACATCTATATAATGGGGGAACTAATTATACCCATTTATGTTAGCTTACTATTGCCGTTGTAACAAATTATCATAAACTTAGTGGCTTAAAACACAACACAAATATATTCTTTTACGCTTCCAGAGGTCAAGTGCCCAAATACGCTTCACTGAGCAGGACTCCCTTTGGAGGCTTTAGGGAGAATCCATTCCCCTGCCTTTCACTTCTCAAGGCCACCTACATTCCTTGGCTCATGGCCCTTCTATCCATCTCCAAATCCAGCCATGTAGTATCTTCAGATCACTGACCCTAACCCATCCTGCCTTCCTCATTCACTTTTAAGGACCCTAAATGATTACATTGGGCCCACCTTAATAATCAAAGATAATCTCTCCATCTCAAGATCCTTGATCATGTGTGCTAGCCTCAGCAGCAGATACACTAAAGTTGGAACGATACAGAGAAGATTAGCATGGCTCCTGCGCAAGGGTGACATGCAAATTCGTGAAGTGTTCCACGTCCGTAAGAGAAGAAAAAAAGTCCTTAATCACATCTGCAGATTCCCTTTTGCAACGTAAGTTTATCAGCAGGTTCTGGGAATTAGGATGAAAACATCTTGAGGGGACCATTATTCTGCCTGCCACACTCCCTCCTAAGGTTTTTATTAGGAGAATTAATGTAGGCAAATCATAATAGAGACCTAATACACAATAAGTACTCAAAAAGTGTGTCTGCTATTATTTGTCAATGGTAAATGGTTATTTCTGTGCCTCTATAATATCCCTGTTTTAGTAAGGATAGTGAGTTCCAAATATTTGAGAAATGCTGGTGTTCTCTTTGCCTTCAAAACTAGTGGTCTACTTGAATTTTTGACTTTTTCTTATCATGTAAGTATGTATCATAAGTTTATGAAATATGGAGATGAAAGATATCAATATTTTTAGTGAAAGCTGACATAAACATCTGCGAATCAAAGAATATTTATATTCCTATTTCCTGATTTTTCTCTTTAAATACCAAACTAACTTTTCGAATCTTTTATCTTCAGTATAACATACTCTATGTTAGTGGAGATTATGTAGCTTCTTTCTCTGTCACCCGCTAATTCTTTTACCCAAAGCCTGGTGGTGACTTTTCCCACTTTATAGATTATGAGTCTATAAGCAGGCATATGAATACTCTTCCATTGAACAAAGGGTTTGGAAATAGTCCTTTAATCCTCTATATACAAAAAGAATCTATGCATATTCCTTTTAAGTGCTCCATGAGGGCAGAGGAAGGATCTATTTTGCCTGCCAGTATGTCCTAGAACATTAGCACAGGGCCTTGTACTTAACAATGTTAGTTGTCCTCTATGGCACTAAATGTAATCCCTTTATCCACACACCCATCCCTTTGTTATTTCTTTTTACTAATCAATGTATCATTTATGCTGTGGGTCTCACATCCTTCTCAGGGACCTCATTCCACTGTTTATTCACCCTGGCCTGTGTATTCAACCTCTGCCTCTCTGTTGTTGCCTTCCCTTCAGCATTTAAGGAGTGCCCAAATCTCTTTTATCCATAAGAGCATCTATGCATACCTTCTAAAACCCCACATCCTCTCCAGCTACTACTTAATCTGTTTTCTCTTCCCAGCCAAACTTAAGTTGCCCACCATTGGGTCTCTCTAATTACTTATTTCTATATCCTTAGCCCACTGTTGTAATCTTGCATTTGACCTGCATTTGATTCTCCTGACACTCCCCTTTCCTTGGCTTCCTTTACATTCACCCCTCCTAGCTCCGCTTCCACCTCTCTGGCCATTCTCCCAGTTCCTTTATGGACATTTCCTCTGCCCACCTTTTAAATATTGGTGCTTCTCAGGCTTTCATTCTAAGTTCTCTTCTTTTTTTTTTTTATTTATTTATTTTAAGGATTTTATTTATATATTTGACACAGAGAGAGCACAAGCAGGGGGAGCATCAGGCAGAGGGAGAGGGAGAAGCAGGCTCCCCACTAAGCAAGGAGCCTGACACGGGGCTCAATCCCAGGACCCTGGGATCATGACCTGAGCCGAAGGCAGATGCTTAACCGACTGAGCCACCCAGGCGCCCTCTAAGTTCTCTTCTCACTCTACGTTATATTCTTTAAGTTTTCTCAACCTCTTCCCTGCTTGGTGTTTTTTGTTTTGTTTTGGGTTTTTTTTTGCCATTTGGATACTGATTACTTCCAGCCATCCCTCCTGAGTATGTCTGAGTGTCTTACAAAAACTCAGTCCACTTCCCATGTTCCCTATCTTGGTTACTTTTTCCTTTCCCTTACCCCCCAGATCTACTAGATTATTGTTCTCAACCCTTAACTCTCCCTTCTATCTATCCCACCATCTTTTAGTCCAGGCCACCATCCTTTCTTGCCTGACAGAGTTATCCGAGCCATCCTTCAAAAAGGTACCACAGTGGTCTTTCTGAAATATAAGCCTTCAGCAGCTTTTCTTTGTCCTTGGGAAGTGGCCCATACCTAATTTGTTGAGACAGAGATTTTCTTTACTTCTCCAGCCTTACCCCTTGTCATTCCTCTTCACACCCACTCCCAACTGTGTACTGCTGTGTTCTGCCATGCTGTCTCATCTCCAGCCTCTTGCATGTTGTTTCTCTACCCCGAATCCTCCTCTTCTCTACCTTCTAGATTCCTTCATGTGACCTTCAGGTCAGCTTTCAGACAGTATTTCCTCTGATTCCTGGGCTCCCCAATGACACAGGATTGGACACACCTATTGTTTCTTAGCGTGGTCCTGCTACTTACCAGTTCTATTCTGTAAGTTGGTGAATTATCTGTGTTCGGTTCTTGAAAAAGAGAGACTGGGTCTTGTTTATTATTCTGTCCTAACTCCCTAACACAGTGGCCTGACACATAGTAGCACAATAAATATTTATGTATGAATAAATGAGCTTTTCCTAAAATTTGGTTTGCTTTTTTTAATAGGTCTTCATTGATAAATTTACCATACCACCTCTTAACCACAATCACATATTCATTGTTAAGTCTGAACATTTGGAGAATAAATTACAAGCTATTCACAAGAGAAATGCATTCTGCAAAGGCCTGATATAAAGGGAAAACATCCCTTATTTATGTTCTCAGAGATACCTCATTATGAGACACAGATGTTCCAGTTGTTACTACAAACAGTTTGATAATATATGTAGCAGAACAAGATGTCTTTAACATTTTTTTCATCTTTTCAATCAGAAATATTCTCAGGCTTTTATTTGTTCTGTGTAGGAATAGTTTAAGAAAGTATAAGCCACGTATGTTTCTCTTTTGCCTTTATTTTGATTAAGCGAATTATCTGAATTGATACTGTTTTACCTCCCCATCTTAAAAGACACCAGCCTTTGCTACAACAAATATTTAGTGATCACAACAGATTTATTTGATATTTTTTTAAATATCATTCTACCTTTAATTCTAAGTATTTGCCTTTATCTTATTACACCTGACAGTGGTAATATCATGTTTCCTGTACCAAGGATAGAAAAAAAATGACATAAACATTTCCTGCATTTAATGTCTTTTTATAGTCCTTTACAAAGGGAAAATACCTTGCAGCTTTAACAGGAAAATAACCAAAATTTAAGAAAATAATTTCTGGAATTTAATGTCTTAAAGAAATGAGTAAGAAACAATACAAAAAATTCAATATTGAACTAAATTGGGCAATACAATTAACACTAATGAAGATATCCATGTTTATAAATATCTGTGTTTATAAAAATATCCATGTTTATACAAAATATAAACAAGGTAAACAAAAAATTGCCTTTAAGAAAAATAAAGACCATACTGTAAGTCAGCTATTTTTCTAATACTTTAGAATCATAAATTTTAGTGCATAATTAAGCCTAATACTGATTTTCATCTAACATAATACGTCTTACAAGTTCTTCCAGTTTTGCCATCCAGAGCCAATGACGAATGTACTTGGTCTCCATTGTAGAAACCAAAACCTTGAAACAAATCCTTAGATAATCAGGTACTTCACACCGACATAAAAACCCCAAGATTTGTCTAGGCTACTGAAAAAGATAATCTATGAAGAAAAAAGATGTATTCTAACCCTGATTTTTATAAGTCAACAGGCATACAGAGGACAGTTAGTTTAAAAGAATCTGTATAATACAACACCCAAACTGCATTGCATCAATATGACACATTCTAGAACAAGAAAAATGACCCAAATATAGTCCTTGATTACTGGGAGTATGGAAAAATTGAAAGATCACTATTATTTCTTAATTTAACTTCTCTGAATTCTTTCAAACAAATATCATACATGACATTTAAAAGGAAAGATAGGACAATGTGAGAGATTTGTACTAAGATTTTCACACAAAGTGAACTTACTAGATGGGGTACAGGACTCAGCATTCCATAGGAATAGCTAATGTCTTAATTTTTTCCTACCAAAATTTATTAAATCAATTTATGAAATGTTTTCCACAAAAATGTTTCTGCCTTAAAAATAAAAACGAAAACTGAGACTGATGTAAAAGTGAATGCAAGAGAATAAATTCTCTTGTATGAACTGAGACCCCAAAATACACAGAACATAAAATCACATATCTCAGATATCTCTGCTGAAAATATAAAGTTTGGTCACCCAAGCTTATGACACAGTCCCTCCCTCCCCCCAACTCCTCAAAACATGGGACACCACCCTTTCAAACAAGTGAAACCATCAATGCCTCGTGGTGTACCTTATGTTTGGGGCTGGGCTGGCAGCCTCTGAGTGTAACTGTCCTCCATTAGGGCTTATTCATGCTTCCTATCCAAGTTTCTAGAGCCTTCACTTTCAAAACAGTACTCAGAAACCATGGTTTGTGACCAAAACTGCATGTACCACACCCTGAGGTGAAATTTCCAGGCCACATTAAAACATGGTTGTGCACAATTTCCAGATTTTTTTTTTTTTTTTTTTAGTGAGGAAGTGGGAAGAGAGGCAGAAGGAAAGGGAGAGAGAGAGAACCTTAAGCAGGTTCCACACCCAGCACAGAGCCCGATGCAGGGCGCAATCTCACAACCCTGAGATCATGACCTAAGCCAAAATCAACAATCAGAAGTTTAACTAACTAAGCCACCCATGCACCCCAATTTCCAGAAATTTCTTTGGATAGTTGATCTGCCTGTGTGTGGATGTGGCATAATGCCTTCAATCTTATAATTACAGGCTCTCTAAAACCCTCACATTCCAGTATAAAAAAGGAGAAGGTTCAGAATCACTGGGAACTGGGTCATAATCATGAGGCACTTATAAACATCATTCCACACACAAAAAATTGCCAAACTGGAAGGAAGGACAGGTGTAAGACATAGAGGACAAATGATTCTTTATGACTGAGGAGGTCATTCATGTATTCAATAAATATTTATTCACTTTTTGCTATGTTCTAGGTGCTAGATGAGACAAAAATCAGTGCCTTTATGGAGATCACAGTCTATATCCAGCAAAGCATGCTAGTAGAAGGAAACATTTGAGTTGGGAG